TCGACCAGTATTGGACCGTTAATTACAAATAAAGGTACGTACACAGAGGACAACAAAGAGATTTGTGAAATTCTAAGCGGCTAGTATGAGGCTATGTTTAGCACACCAATAAACAACATGAAAGTTGATGACCCAGACAGCTTCTTTATGAATGACATTCAAGCTGCAGATAATATAACGGATATTAACACGAACTCGGAAGACTTTGAAAGAGAAATTGACAATATGCCTATGCACTCAGCTCCTGGGCCTGACTCATGGAATTCAATATTCATAAAGAAATGTAAAGTACCAGTAGCGAGAGCACTCAGCGTAATATGGAGAAAGAGCCTGGATACAGGGGAGATACCAGCAGCACTTAAATCTGCAGATATAGCTCCGTTGCACAACGGGGGAAGTAAAGCCTTGGCACAAAATTATAGGCCAGTTGCACTAACATCACACATAATTAAAGTGTTTGAAAGAGTGATTAGGAATCAAATTTCTGGTTTTATGGAAAACAATGAATTGCACAATCCAGGACAACATGGATTTAGAGCGGGAAGATCCTGTCTGTCACAGTTACTCAACCACTATGACAAAATCACAGAAGCCCTAGAAGAAAAGCAAAATGCAGATGTTGTATACACAAACTTTGCAAAGGCGTTCGACAAATGTGACCATGGGGTGATAGCTCACAAAATGAGGTCAATGGGAATAACTGGAAAAGTAGGACGCTGGATACTCAATTTCCTGTCGAACAGAACACAAAGAGTAACAGTCAATCAGATAAATTCGAGTCCAAGCGATGTTAAAAGCTCTGTACCTCAGGGTACAGTCCTTGCACCGCTACTGTTCCTTATTCTCATATCTGATATAGACAAAAATACGTGTCACAGCTTCGTGTCGTCCTTTGCAGATGACACAAAAATCAGCATGAAAATTACCTCTGCTGAAGACATTGAAAAACTACAAGCAGATGTCAACAACGTTTTCGATTGGGCAGCAGAAAATAACATGATGTTTAACAGTGATAAATTTCAGGTACTCAGGTACGGCAAAAATGAGGATCTGAAACATAATACAGGGTACAAAACACAATCGAATCTTCCCATAGTAGAAAAACAGCATGTCAAGGATTTGGGAATAATAATGTCCGACGATCTAACGTTTAGGGAGCATAACCAAGCAAATATCGCGTCAGCCAGAAAAATGATCGGATGGATTACGAGAACTTTCAAATCCAGGGATCCCATCACAATGGTTGTACTCTTCAAGTCACTTGTGTTGTCCCGTCTCGAGTACTGCTCAGTGCTTACTTCCCCCTTCAGAGCAGTAGAGATTGCTGAAATAGAGGGAATACTGAGAACATATACGGCACGCATAGACGAGATAAAACACCTAAATTATTGGGATCGTCTCAAAGCTCTCCAAATGTACTCTCTAGAAAGGAGACGAGAGAGATACCAAATAATATACACATGGAAAATACTGGAAGGTCAGGTCCCAAATCTACACAGTAAAATAACAACGTACTGGAGTGAACGATATGGAAGAAAATGCAAGATTGAACCAGTGAAGAGCAGAGGTGCCATAGGCACAATCAGAGAACACTGTATAAACATCAGAGGTCCGCGGTTGTTCAACGTCCTCCCAGCGACTATAAGAAATATTGCCGGAACAACCGCGGACATCTTCATGAGAAAACTGGACGGTTTTCTAAGAGAAGTTCCGGATCAGCCGGGCTGTGGTGGGAATGAGGGCCTGCGGGCCGCTCCAAGCAACAGCCTGGTGGACCAGACTCTCACAAGTCGAGCCTGGCCTCGGGCCGGGCTTGGGGAGTAGAAGAACTCCCAGAACCCCATCAACTAGGTATCAACCCTTCCCCATGTTGCAACTCCCCCCACACATCTCCCCCCCCCCATCCTGTCCAACCGTGCCATCGGGGAAGACCAGAGTGCCAGATTGTCTGGCACTTCCGGTGCGCGCGTCAGGCTTATTTCCCTTCTGGTAAACATGTAAGGTCGACAAGAATCCAGAGGAATTAAACATGAACTTTCTAATCTACTTGTCCGCGCGCCCCCGCGCGTGTATGTGTACTCACCTATTTGTACTCCCTATTTGTGCTTGGGGGGGGGGGTGAGCTCTGGCTCTTTGGTCCCGCCTCTCAACCGTCAATCAACAGGTGTACAGGTTCCTGAGCCTACTGGGCTCTATCATATCTACACTTGAAACTGTGTATGGATGGAGTCAGCCTCCACCACATCACTTCCTAATGCATTCCATTTGTCAACCACTCTGATACACACGTACGTGTGTGTGTGTGTGTGTGTGTGTGTGTGTGTGTGTGTGTAGAATGTCGATTGAGGCAGGTGTGTAGGTAGCCAGGCAAGGCAGGTGTGTAGGTAGCCAGGCAAGGCAGGTGTGTAGGTAGCCAGGCAAGGCAGGTGTGTAGGTAGCCAGGCAAGGCAGGTGTGTAGGTAGTCAGGCAAGGCTTGATGGGCTGGAACCTTCAACAGGCGGCAGACAGTGAGCATTACCGCCCACACCACCACACCACACAACGTACCTTCACCACACAACCATACAGCATGCCTACACGACACAACCACACGGCACAATATACCTACACGACATAACCACACCTACACGACAACACAACCATACCTACACCACACAACACAACCACGCGACACAACATACCTACACCACACAACACAACCACGCGACACAACATACCTACACCCCTACCTACACCCACACCATACATTTGTTTACTTAACTACTTATAACTGTAAAATATTCGACTGTTAACATAAAGAGAAAAATTAAGATAGTGTACTAGTCTTCCAAGGATAGACTGTCTTATGAATACCACCATCACTGTATTATGCTGCCTCCCATGTATCTTTTGTAACAATGGTCTCTACCACTGACCTCACCAGCCACGGTACAGCTGGCCTCAGCACCCACGGTACGGCTGGCCCCAGCACCCACGGTACAGCTGGCCCCAGCACCCACGGTACAGCTGGCCCCAGCACCCACGGTACAGCTGGCCTCAGCACCCACGGTACTGCTGCTCCAGCACCCACGGTACAGCTGGCCTCAGCACCCACGGTACAGCTGGCCTCAGCACCCACGGTACTGCTGCTCCAGCACCCACGGTACTGCAGCCCCAGCACCCACGGTACAGCTGGCCTCAGCACCCACGGTACAGCTGGCCCCAGCACCCACGGTACTGCAGCCCCAGCACCCACGGTACAGCTGGCCTCAGCACCCACGGTACGGCTGGCCCCAGCACCCACGGTACAGCTGGCCCCAGCACCCACGGTACAGCTGGCCCCAGCACCCACGGTACAGCTGGCCCCAGCACCCACGGTACAGCTGGCCCCAGCACCCACGGTACAGCTGGCCCCAGCACCCACGGTACAGCTGGCCCCAGCACCCACGGTTATCTTGAGGTTATCTTGAGATGATTTCGGGGCTTTTAGTGTCCCCGCGGCCCGGTCCTCGACCAGGCCTCCACCCCCAGGAAGCAGCCCGTGACAGCTGACTAACACCCAGGTACCTATTTTACTGCTAGGTAACAGGGGCATAGGGTGAAAGAAACTCTGCCCATTATTTCTCGCCGGCGCCTGGGATCGAACCCAGGACCACAGGATCACAAGTCCCGCGTGCTGTCCGCTCGGCCGACCGGTACAGCTGGTCCCCAGCACCCACGGTACAGCTGGTCCCCAGCACCCACGGTACAGCTGGCCCCAGCACCCACGGTACAGCTGGCCCCAGCACCCACGGTACAGCTGGCCCCAGCACCCACGGTACAGCTGGCCTCAGCACCCACGGTACTGCTGCTCCAGCACCCACGGTACAGCTGGCCTCAGCACCCACGGTACAGCTGGCCTCAGCACCCACGGTACAGCTGGTCCCCAGCACCCACGGTACTGCAGCCCCAGCACCCACGGTACAGCTGGCCTCAGCACCCACGGTACAGCTGGCCCCAGCACCCACGGTACAGCTGGCCTCAGCACCCACGGTACAGCTGGCCTCAGCACCCACGGTACAGCTGGCCTCAGCACCCACGGTACAGCTGGCCCCAGCACCCACGGTACAGCTGGTCCCCAGCACCCACGGTACAGCTGGCCCCAGCACCCACGGTACAGCTGGTCCCAGCACCCACGGTACAGCTGGCCCCAGCACCCACGGTACAGCCGGCCCCAGCACCCACGGTACAGCCGGCCCCAGCACCCACGGTACAGCTGGCCCCAGCACCCACGGTACAGCTGGCCCCAGCACCCACGGTACAGCTGGCCCCAGCACCCACGGTACAGCTGGCCCCAGCACCCACGGTACAGCTGGCCCCAGCACCCACGGTACAGCCGGCCCCAGCACCCACGGTACAGCCGGCCCCAGCACCCACGGTACAGCTGGCCCCAGCACCCACGGTACAGCTGGCCCCAGCACCCACGGTACAGCTGGCCCCAGCACCCACGGTACAGCTGGCCCCAGCACCCACGGTACAGCTGGCCCCAGCACCCACGGTACAGCCGGCCCCAGCACCCACGGTACAGCCGGCCCCAGCACCCACGGTACAGCTGGCCCCAGCACCTAGCTGAGTCAGGACGCCTTGCTAAAGGTCAAGACAACTAACTCCAAACTGACAGCAGTTATAAAAAGAAGAAAATAACTGATCAGAGCTAATCAGAATGAAGTGTTTTCTCGTCACGTTAACTAACACCGTCACCATACACATTTGTGCTTACTCTCATGTGATTGGTGTATACAGTACATACATTATTATATTCAAATGAATTAAATCGAATTATGTATGTCGAATATATATAGGCCTGTGTTCCCCGTCGACGGTCTGTTAGAAAAGGTCACGGTAAAGTATATAACAGATGTTAATAGTCGTGAATGTTAAACTGTGCAGGTGAGAAGAGGTTAGTGTGGTAATGGGGTAGAAGAGGGCGCTCTACTCCATACCCAGAAGTTCCCGCTCAAACATCCAGCAAAATACGTACCATCTTGCTCATCACACACTCTCCGCGGGACTATAACGCACTAATCACTTAGGCATAGTCTCTAAAGGTCATGACAGACATAAATGTATCCAAGTTAAGGGAGGAGCGAAAGAGCACGTGCACCCACCACTACAGTAAGCTCTACACTGAGGGCGGTTGAGGTTCCTTAGCGTCTCCTGAGACCGCGTCCCGACCCCGGCACGATGCCACCTATCTCAATATAATTTTTATTTAGCTGTCGATTTGCTAATTGCCGGAGGCTAAAAACGCGGAGTGCAAGCCTTAATACTGGTTACGTGTCAAGGCGTAATATGGCAACATAATTTTTAATATCAAACATCTATAAAAGGCTTTCACGTATTAGAAATGCTTCCTTCAACACCTGCTCGACTAGTATTGCCATATGGTGGTCACCACTAACACAGTCCTACTTCTTGGCATAGTTATATCGTAATCCGTCCGCGGGTATTTATTTATTTAATTAGTTATTTATATATTAGAAGGTATATTGGGTTGCGAGAGTACATAACACTGGTGTTCTTACATTCTTGCAAAGCCACTAACACGCATAGTAATTCCCGCAGGTCCTTAATCTAAGAGATAATTATTATAAGGTAAGATTATTAATAGGTGCATTGTAGCAAAATTAGAGTTCAACATAATTACTACAATATCAATTTATGGAAATTATTACACTAATGAAGTCGTATGTCTTTAAATTGAAGGAGGATAGCACAAATAGAGTGAGTTTGAAGTACAAAAATGGAGACTATAAGGACACTTATTTTTTTTATTGTCACGCTTAGGTATACACAACAATGTGCTGATACCCTATTCTATATGAAAGATTACATAGTGTAACTCAAAAACTATCTATAAGTTCATCTAGGACACAGTCCCCGTAACACAGTGGGTAAAGCACTCCCCCTGCGCTTTGACCTGGGTTCGTATCCTGGCCGGGGAGGATCGACTGTTAAACGATTTGGCGGGTCGTATTCCAGGGAAAATTAGGATTAAGGACTTGCCCGAAGCGCTATGCGTGCTAGTGGCTGTACAAGAATGTAAGACCTTTTATATGTAAACTATATATAACTAAAAACTCTATATATAACTGTAAACTATATATAAATAAAAAAAGGATGAAATTAGATACTTTTTGCTTTTACTTTTTAATAACCAATGTTCCAGCGATGTGTCAATGTTTCATTCAAAATGGTCTGCTACCAGAAATTTTAGCCAAATATCCCCAGTTTGCTAACTGTAGGTAGTAACTGAGTGATTGTAACCTATCCACCGCTGCCCACTGGATGGGGGGCGGTGTAACCTACCCACCGCTGCCCACTGGATGGGGGGCGGTGTGCAGGACAAACATATCAATTTTGACACTAGCTCTCCACATATGTCAGTTGCTTAATTTAGAACCTGTACTTGAGGTCGATCTCGAACCCATTGTTGATGTGACGACTTATATTGAATTTTGTAACTAGCTCATCAAGATTGTAACTTGCTTAGCTAAATGAATTGTGGGGTTCAGTCCCTGAGCCCATTATGTGCCTCTGTAACCCTTTCCACTACCGCCCACAAGATGGGTATGGGGTGCATAATAAATGAAGTAAACTAAAAAAAAAAAACTTTTGAACAAGGCATAGGTTTGACAATTTTTATTAATTCATTAAGATGCGAGTTCCATAGACTGGGAGCTTTTGTTTGCACAGATTTAGTTTGACTGGGGATTTCAAAGAGATATTTATTTCTGGTGTGATGCTCATGGGTTCTATTACATCTATCAAAGATGAGTTTCAGCTGAGGAGTAGCAGTTAGGAACGGTTTTGTACATGTAGATAACAACACTAGAGAATGTGTGGCGTATGTTTAGCATGTTTAGGGACTTAAACAGAGGGGCTGTGTGTTGTCTGAACACAGTTTGTCATAGTTGTGATAGCAGATTTTTGCTTGGTGATGATGGGCTTCAGGTAATTTGCAGTGCTTGAACTACTTGTACAGATACCGTATGTTTGATAGGGATAGATTAGTGCATAGTATAGTGAAAGGAGAGTAGAGTGGGGTACCTACTATCTGGTTTTATAGAGCATACCGACAGTTTGAGACCATTTTGGCCATGTGTTGTATGTAAGTGTTGACGTTTAGTCTCTTGTCTATGTATAGGCCAAGGTTTTTATTGCTAATAACATTGTCTATCTGAAGTTGAATTTGGTTTGAGGATTTACTTACAAATAAAACGCAGTAGGTATTGTCTATATTTAGTACGAGTAGTTAGCCCGAGAGGTCCCGGGTTCACCACCCGGACAGGTCCTCACGTTAATGTGACGTGTTTCCCTAGTGCAGCGTATACCGGCACGTGTAAAATGCTCTCACTCACATTAAACAAAAAGTATAAAAAAAAATGCTGCTTGTCCTTGCGGTGTGAAAGTTGCAGGATTAAACAATGAACATAAACAATTCAACACTTTACAGTAAACTTCAACATAACAAAATAGTTTTTGAAATATTACTTGGCTAATCCACTACAAGAACAATCAAACAAATACGTTACTCTACTCGAAAAACAATAATAATGGTCACTATATTATGTACACAGTGCACACGACCACCTTCACGCGTCGTAGCAGGACCACAGCGAGTGAAAGACGCGGAGTGTAGATCCCAGGAGTACCAGAGAGAGACTGAGGTGTTCTAGGCCACAGTCAGGTGTTTATATACACCTGCGGGTGACATCACGTCTGGTGGCAAGTTGCAGTGTTAACGAGAAGCCGGCGAGATAAGAAGCAGTTAGCGGGTGCTGAACAGGTCACCGGCGTACACACCTGGCGTGTGCTCACAGGGTAGATGTGAGCTGGCTGGAGGGAATCCAAACATCTATCTGGGGGCAGCTGTCTGGTTTTGCTATCGTAGAGGTGTACGGCAGCATGAAGGTGTTGAAGGTAGGAGGAAGAGGCAGCTTCCCACTGCTATGCAGGGGAATTACGTGACAACATCCATGAGTGGACTCTTTTAATTCGTCATTTACAATATTATTTATTGTGTGTGGGGTTGGGATCTGAATAGATGAAGGTAGTATCGTCAGCAAATAATATTGGTTTAAGAATGTCAGAGACAATTGGTAAATCATAGACGTATATAAGAAATCCTGACGTATATAAGAATTCGTATATAAGAAAGACGTATATAAGAATTCGTATCCTGGCCGGGGAGGATTTACTGGGCGCAATTCCTTAACTGTAGCCTCTGTTTAACGCAACAGTAAAATGTGTACTTGGATGAAAAAACGATTCTTCGCGGCAGGGGATCGTATTCCAGGGAACATAGGATTAAGGACTTGCCCGAAACGCTACGCGTACTAGTGGCTGTACAAGAATGTAACAACTCTTGTATATATCTAAATAAAAAAAAATAATAAAAAAATAGGAGAGGTCTTAAGATGCTGCCCCTTTCTCAAGTCAATGAAGAGGCCAATTGGAAGCTCATTTTTGTCAAAGGCTGTGTAGATTATATCAAGCAGACTAATAATGGCATCATTGGTACTCTTTTGGGAACGGAAGCCAAACTGGCAGGGACTTAATATGTTGAACTTTACAAGGGAGGAGTAGAACTGTTTGTAAATAATGTTTCAAATATTTTTGATAGTATCGGTATATTTGATATTGGTCTGTAATTGTTTATGTCAGCTGTCTCGCCTCCTTTATGAACTGGCGCTATTCTTACTTTTTTAAGTAAGATAAGGCAGGCAACTTTAGGATAGCTGTCGGTTAGACATGTTGTAACGTGGCTGAGTCTCTGGGATTTTTCTGGCAAGGTTGGCAGCAATTGACGAAAAGAAGCTGTTAAATTCCGTTGCCGTTTCTAAGTTTGTTGCAAGTGTGTAATCATCCTTGGAGAGTTTTATTTGCTTGTTATGTGATTGTTGTTTACATCTTGGAAGAGTTGGCTTTCCATGTGCTTTTCATATTTCCTTTTGCTTCTTCGACTCTATTATCATAATAAGACGGGTATAGTTATGTAGAGTACAACCTCAACATTCCTACACAATATTGTTCTTATTCATTGGCAATTATTTAACATCAATACACTCTTCATAGGTGAATAATTAAATACAAATGTAATTTGCATTATTAACAGCAATTAATTTAATTCTTATAATTCATGGTCGGGGGACAGGCAGCCAGTGTATATATAGTATACATGTTAGGCAAATGTTGAGGTCGACTCCCAAGGTCGAACTACTGATCCTCCCCAGGATGTAGTTTTGTTAGTTTAGTTCATTTATTATGCACCCCATACCCATCTTGTGGGCGGTAGCGGAAAGGGTTACAGAGGCACATAATGGGCTCAGGGACTGAACCCCACAATTCATTTGACGTAACCCCACAAAAAGTTGACTAACTGAAAGGTACCTATTTACTGCTAGGTAAACTGGAGCATTAAGTGATAAGAAACGCGCCCAACCATTTCTGTCCCACCCGGGATTCGAATGAGAGTTGAGAACGAATCCAACTGTATATTTAAAAGAAAATGTCTGTGAAAGGTTGACTGACCAGCACTTGGGGGCTAGCCTTAACAAACTTTGCAGGACGACTGGTGGGTGTAATAGGAGGGTCATATGGGGATTAGGGTTGAACCACTTTCCTCCCTTGAAAGATGCTTTCTTTTTCTTTCAATAACAACTTCACGTTAATCACACACCATATTTCACACTAGAATCTATTAAAAAGGCCTAGGGATGCTCATAATTGCTAATAATTCTTCAAGCATTTAACTTATGCCTACCCCAGCCAGCCTATGTCCGTACCATACCCCAGGCCATATCACCTGCAAATATTGGTAAGGCTAGCCCCCATGCATCTGGTCTCCATCTTTGGAAAGAGAGATATTCTCTTATAGTGTATAGCACTAGGACGGGGTACACAGCGGTGCTGCCCGAAAGTCTCTCTCTCTCTACCCTCCCCCTTCAAACTAGAACTGCTAAGACATTTCCCTTTAGTACATAGAGTACTATTAAAACCCATCCTTCTAAGGTTTCCCGTCAAGAAAATGGTCAATTTCAAGTGTCCTCTTCTAACCTACCAGAGGACCCAAAACAGAAAATGGAACAGTACGTCACTTTTGCGAGCTACTTCCGTTATCTAGTGCGACAATTTGTGGCCTTATGTAACGCACACGATCGAAATGCGACGTTCTTTGTAAGAGGACAGGTTCATTATTATTACAGTATTACCATTAGAATTATTATAATATAAAGTAAATAATGTAAGTGCATGGGTAACATGCAGGAGTAAGTTCACACTACGGACAATCCTTCCCGACTTCACAAAAATCGCACAGTTGATTTAACAGACTGCCCAGCTTTTCACATCAAAGGAACCTAGCGAATAAAATAAAAAAACCTCTATTATGAAAACAGTAACACCCATTCATACCAGGGAGATTGTTTAGTAAGAGAAAGGAGAAAAGAAAAGAATTGCAAGAAATGTACGAACTGTACTATCAATTCGGTCAAATGCTAAACAGGACACATATAATGAGGCACCCTTATCAGAACAACAGATATTAAAACTAACACATCCATAAATACTAACTAACACATCCATAAATACAACATCTACCTTATTTCCCAATATACAACATATCAAAATATGCAAAACATATGAAGTCTTCTTTAAGACTGGACTCATTAATGAGGAAAATGCAATGTTTGCAGCTTTACCTGAAACCCACACTAAGACTATTATGACAGTGAAATATGGATACTAGAGTGCAATCTTTTCAGGTGTGACAGGAACCACTGGCTACAGGGTGTGGTCAGCCTGTACATCAAAGACACACTCCTCTGCACAGAGCTGCTAAACACCACAAATGATGTGGTGGAAGTGCTGATAACCAAAACAGTCATTCTAAATGTGGTGATTGTCCTTGTATATAAATCACCTGATGCAAATCCTCAGTAGTGTAAAGACCAATGTATGAAAATAGAATACTGCTTAGAAAACCTCACAAACCCTGCCCCAAACATCATTTTGCTTGGCGATTTGAACTTAAGGCATCTAAAATGTTAAAAAGTATTTGCCATCCAATGTGGCAAATACTGTTATAGCAGAGAGAATTCCAAGCAGCAGCCTGAATGAATGGTTACGCACAAATGACCTCTTGCAGATGTGTGACAGATTTGCTTTAAGACCAACAAATAGCAGAATAAACTAGAAAATACTGTACACTGACCATATTTTTACAAACAACGATGAACTGATTAGAGACGATGATTACAAGTACATGTTACTCGGATCACAACATAATTGAAGTTCAAACTAAATTGCAGATGTACTGTACAGTACACAGACTTTGCAAAAGCTTTTGACAAATGTGACCATGATGTTATGGGCATAAAATGCAAAGTGTAATTAAACAAAAGGGAGTGTAATTAAAATGAATTACAGGCAATGTAGGGGGATTGATCTTTAACTTCCTAACAAACACAAACAACAGTGTAATAGCCAACAAAGTGAAATCAGGATCGTCCACTGTGATACGTGCAGTTCCCCCAAGAAACCGTACTGCTCTGGTAATTTTTCTTATCCTTATATCAGACACAGATAAGGATACATACTATAGTACTATACCATCATTTGCAAGTGCCACTTGGATTTCCTGGCAAGTGGACAATATACAGGACACAGAAAACCTCTAATCTGATGTTAACCAGGTCTTTCAATTGGCCACAGATAATATGATGATGTTTAATGAAGAAAAGTTCCAGCTCCTGTGCTATTGAAAAAATAGAAAAAACTGTAACCACATTATAAAATGCAGTCAATCACACAATAGACTGAAATAGCAATGTGAAAGATCTAAGAGTAATCATTTTAGAAGAACTTACCTTTAAAGAACACCATAAAGTAGCAGTCACGACTGCAAGAAAAATTATATGTTGGATAACGAGAACTTTTCAAACAAGGGATGCCATACCAATGATGATACTTTTCAAGACACTAGTGCTCTCTAGGGTGGAATATTGTTGTACATTAACATCCCTATTCATTGCTGGAGAAATTGCTGACCTAGAGAGCATGCAAAGAACCTTTGCAGCTAGAAACAACTCTATAAAACATTAAATTATTGGGACCAATTACAAGTTCTAAATCTGTATTCTCTAAAGCATGCAAGAGAGATACATAATAATCTAGTGGAAATGTGGCAAGAATATTATGCAAGTAATTATCATAAGAAAGCACCAAGCCAAGGAGACTATGTAGCAAGCAAGAATATTAAATAACAATGTTTTATTCAGCCCTTCCTCAGGCCTAAGTGATTGTACCGAGTGGATTTCCTCCCTTGTGAAGCCACCTAAATACTGTACTTATTTATATATTTGTGATGCTCTGAAGGCTTATTACCCCCTGTACTGCACACCAGTTTCATATGACAACTTCGTGGATGGATGGATGGATGGATGGATGGATAGATGGATGGATGGATGGATAGATGGATGGATGGATGGCTAGATGGATGGATAGATGGATGGATGGATGGATAGATGGATGGATGGATAGATGGATGGATGGATGGATAGATGGATGGATGGATGGATAGATGGATAGATGGATAGATGGATAGATAGATATATATATATACACACACACACATACATACATATATATAAAAAATTGCTATGCTCAACAATTTTCATTTCAAATATAAGGCTCCAAAAAAGTCAATTGGAAAACTGGTAAGTGAACCTTTGTCCTAAATAGATTATTCTCAAAGTATAACCATATTAGTATATATCCAGGCTTTAAAATAGACCAAGTCTCTGGTACACTTGTTTTCTTTGACATGCCACTTCTGGGTAGTGGCCAAGGATTACCTTTAATGTCAAATTCTAGTAGATACTCAAGCCAGAATTTCACGTTTTAAGTGTTTGAGGATGTAATACACTGGCTTGACCTGGACTGGCCTAAGCAAGAATATGAAGTACAAAAGCACTAACTACGTAGTGTACTACAAAGGACTACGAATCTGCTTTTGATTCACAAAGCAGAGCATTTTGAAGCGATTACCATAATGGTACATAACCCTGAAGACAGGTTGGAAGCAGGGAGGGTAGGGGCAAGAGAGTGGAGAGATAAGGAAGATGTTAGGTTTCTTGAATATCTTATTTTACCAATGTACATTTTAAGTGGTTATTTAAAAAAAAAAAATCCTACGTAATCAACAAATTAAGAGTACTGTATTTCTGTAATGCACCAATTATGTTTCGAGTAAGAGATTGTCACTGACGTGGTATACCTTACATATACCGTATACAGCATCTAATATGCCAGCATATGATACAAACAGCATTATGAAATACTTGCAAAAATAAAATACTAATAATACTAAAATATTTATTCATAAATGTTATTACTTTTATAATTACAATCATACAACTGTCAGTGGATATAGTCAAAGGTCTATGAAAAAATTGCTAATATATATAATAAATAAAAACTTTTCAAGCAATTTAAACAAAAAATAAAGTGTTAAGCCAACATGGCTATATAGTACTAAATAAAAACTTAAGCAATAACATATCTCACTATATTAATATGATATATTCTTGAATTCAGATGGTAACTATACCTCTATCTAATAGTGGTACAGTAGGACTTTTAACTTGTGATCGATTCTAGGGGATATAATGTGCAGTATTGGAGATTTGTTTTCATGTTAACCAGTTATAAAAATGGCCTCCAGGGAATGCACTGTTCAATTTCAAAAGGAAGCTAAGTTTCCTGTTAAATGTTCCAAGTCACTATGATGACACTGACAAGATATCACACACAAATCAAGGAAAAATAATGGCTACCAGAGGGCTACACGACCCGACTTCAACAAGAAGTTTACTGTTGTAATCATACCTGTACCGAGTGGGAACTAATGGTTAAAGGCGACCGACGTTAAATGGTAAACAGTATGTAACGTTGGCTGCTTTCAACCAATGGTGCCTACTGGGTAATGGCAAGCTTTGTATCAAAATGATGAGACATTCTCAAGATATTACACATACCTTGGAAGAAAAATAAATAAACCTGACAAAACCGTAAGGTATTCCTACTGAGGATATCTAAAATGATGTAATACTTAGAGTTAAGACAAGAGACAAGGCTGAACATTTACACAGAGGATGGCACTACTCACACACCACTAAGTCAAACATTATGTCACATAACAATGGCATTTCAAGAAAACAAAAATGACAGTGTAATACTGAACAAAAATAATGGATACTCAATGATAATAAAAAAATACTAATAAAGCCAAATGATAATACTTAACACGGAGATGACTACCAACAATATATATCATCTAAAGAATTCAAAAGCTAATTTATAATTTTTAAAGTGGTCAAAATGGCCAACAGGAGTTCACAATGATGCATCTTTGTACTGTACACAATATAACATAATTCTAAGGGGCACACAGGCCAATTTCCAAAAACATTCCATAAACAGTTTTAAGATACTTGGAAGGAGAGAAAGAACAAGAAAAAAAGCTGGTGAAAACTACCCGGATACTGAAATTTAAACCGAGACTACTGAGAACCTGCCCTGGCATCTGGACGTGTTTGTGTACGGTTGTGTAGAAAATTTAGGAGTTACTCATCACAATATTGCTCGAGATCACACTACAACATGCATTTGAAGGATATTTAGAACAGTAGTCAAAAAGCTTCTTTATCATGTAGTCTAAAAACTATTTACATGGGGACAGCACAACTTCAACAAACCACCAAAAATGGTGGAATCACCAGGGCATTCAGTCCCTCAAGACTTACTCTAAAACATATTACAATAAACTCTAGTAACCTATAAAAGGATATTTGTACACTGAAACAGTACACAAAACACATGAGGATTCTTTCTCACACGTCTATTCATTAAAATTTTCATTAAATAAAAAGAATTCTTTATGTATCTTATAATACATTAGTAACATATAAAAAAAAGCAAACTAATCTAGAATAAGTTGATGTCACTGTTGTGTTGGAGGTAAATTTTCATTGATAAAGGCTGCAAATGCATCATTAGTAGAGTTCGCATGTGCCATTATGAAGGGGTGTTCTTGAAGACGCATGTAATTTGGTCGCTGTTTGTAATCTTTGACCAAGCTGTAACAAAATATAAAATATAACATAAACAAACAAATTAGTGTATTCAAATTAAATTCATTTAGCATTTGTTATTTTCTACATTAAAATATATAACCCCAAGTGATAAAAGATACTGTCTAACTTAAGCTATGATATCAGAACAAGACCTCGGGCAACATTCAGCAGTTACCTTCCCCTGACAGTTATTTAAATCTTCATGTAATTTTGACCATAAACTCATGAGCTAATTGAGAATATCATTAGAAGATGAATGAATTAAATGTAACTGATAAAGGTAAATGTTAAGGAAAATGAAGATATTCCCTTGCTGTCTGTAAAAGCTTTATAACATTATACGTAAGAAAAGTAGAGCGTGTTAATTTAAACACAGCACTGGCCATAACGCCTTAAGGCCCTTGATCAGTGATGTGCTTAGCACCTTAAGGCGTTTTTGGGTAAGTGAAAGATTCAAAACTCTTGTGGGTACACGAAGTTCGCATCCTGTGCCTCAGGACTCCCGTAGACAGACGCCATCTTCAAAAAAATCATGTGCATCTGTACTGGCAGTGAGTCAGTACTGAGAGAGCAACAAAGGCTGGTGCATGCAGCAGCAGCTCACAGCATCACTTTATGATGAATAAAATAGGTAACTGCAGCCAATTTGCATTGATAATGTCATAGATGATCCTGACTGTGATGAAGACTGTACAATGTTTAGATATCAGTGAAAACAATGATAGTTGTGATACTCACAGCATGAGGTAGAGAGGCACA